ATGCGTGGGGCGGACTAGGCCGACGCTCGGGGGGGGGGGGGTTGGGGGGCCAGGCCAGCTCAGGGAGTTAGTGGGGGGCCTGGCACCATCAGCAGGGCTCGGCCCCGCACTCAGCAGCGGGAAGCACGCGTTGTATTTCTTCTTCTTGCTCGCCTGCCGCTGCACTGGCCACCAGCGTCCTAGCGCCGCCAGAACACACCAGCGCCAGACTCACTCCATCCGTTGCCCTTGCGCCCCGAACCCCTCCCTTTTCTGGGACCCCCCAACACAGGGGGTCCCCTCACCCCTAGCATAGGTGCCTCCCTGTGAGACTCCATCGTCCCTTGCCCCCCAGTACTGGTGTCCCCTCCTCACACCTGATTTCACCTGCATAAAAAATGTTAAGGGGGGCTCCTACAGGCTGTTTTGTCCCGGGCCCCACACCCTCCTAGGGACAGCCCTGTTCATTCTCCAAGCCATTCAAACCTGGTACAGTGCCCCCAAAGGCCACCTTTGAGAACTGGGCTTTATACAACAAATGCTGAAAGGCACCAGGAGTGGCCAGCTCTGCTTCCTGCCAGCGTTTTTGTAGCAGGCATCTTCTGAAGTGGCAAGAAAATGAGGCCCAGAGCACTAGTGCTGAGAGGATCCTGGACCATGATGCTCAGCTGATGGGCTAAGATGAAAAAAGTTGTCCTCCATGTTCTTTATGGAGCCTGGCTTTGCTTAACAGCTGCCTCCAAGTGTTGGTGGGGCCTGGGAGAGCAGCTCCCTTGGTGATGGGGCCTCATGACTGCCTTGGGGTGGGGGCCCCATGGGGTAGAACACTGAGCACTTACAGCACTCTGCAGACATCTGTTTCACCTCTCAGCCCCCCCACAAGTGGGGGGGGGGGGGTCAGTGTCGTTGCCACCATTTTACAGGTGGGGAAACTGAGGCACAGAGTGACTTGCCCCAGGTCACTCAAGGAGTCAGTCCCAGTGCTCCATTCTCTTACTGCCTCCCTTTTGCCCTCTGTGTATGTGTCTTGGGCTCCATTATTTCCTATCAGAGGGGTAGCCGTGTTAGTCTGAATCTGTAAAAAGCAACAGCGGGTCCTGTGGCACCTTTAAGACTAACAGAAGTATTGGGAGCATAAGCATAACACCACCCTATACCGAAAACCCACCGACCGCTACGCCTACCTTCATGCCTCCAGCTTCCACCCCGGTCACACCACACGACTGCGAATGGCTTTCCAACTACAGAAGCAGTTTCTCCTCCCTTGGTGTTCACACCTCAACTGCTAGCAGAGCACCTCACCCTCCCCGATTGAACTAACCTCGTCATCTCCATACTGATTTATACCTGCCTCTGGAGATTTCCATTACTTGCATCTGAAGAAGTGAGGTTCTTACCCACGAAAGCTTATGCTTCCAATACTTCTGTTAGTCTTAAAGGTGCCACAGGACCCTCTGTTGATTATTTCCTATGTGGGTTCCATGGCTTCCTGGGGGCTTTTGTGCTGTCCTGTGACCCATAGCTCACAGGCAATCCTCTACATGAGAGGCAGGCTAGGGGATATTCCTGGGGCACCTAAGCTGCAGCCTGGGTGGTAGGATGAGGTTGTGGGCTGGGATCCCCCACCCACAGAACGTTGAGCTCTCCTCGTCCATGCCCCTTTGGGCTGCATGACTGAGGCGCCTGTGCCCAGGGAACCTGTGGGATTAACGCTGTTTTCAACTTTTGCTAACAGGGGGCTCCGGGTGACGGCCAAGATCACGTACCAAGCGATGCTGCTGGAGAACCTGGTACATAGTCTCAGCAGGGAGGGGATGGCGTGCGTACATGCATGCTCAGGGCTGGGTGCTCAGACTGGGGAATGTGTGTGTGAGATCATAGCATCCTGGCCTCATGCTTTCTCGAACCCAGTGTGAAATGGCCCGGCCCTGCTGGGCTTCTACCACTTCCCTTGCGAGCTGATTCCACAGCCAGACACACCTCACTGCCAAGGAGCAACTGTCTACCTCGATACGCAATTTATCTGGGCACACGTTACTGAATGTATTTATCCTCAGCCTCCTGAGAGATGGGGAAACACTATCTCCATTTTACAGATGGAGGAAACTGAGGCACAGAGTCGCTTGAATGACTTACCCCAGGTCACAGAGCCTGGGGCTGAACCGGAAATTGAACCTATGTCTCCTAAATCCTTCGTCAGTGCCTTACCCACTAGGCCATCCTTCCTTCCATCTCAGCCCCAACTTTCCCTTAACTTCACCCCATTACCCGGCTTTCTGTTCCCTAGGGGGCCCCAACTAACTGCAGACTCATGTCCTGTTGTCACTTAGCCACATTATAGACAGACATAGGCTCCCTCCTAACTTGGCCGCTTTCACTGCTCTACTCCAGGCTCCCTTCGCTTTGTCAGGATCTGTCTGGTAAAGCAGTGCCTGTTGAGGTGACCAGATGCCAGGCAAGCCACTTAGAGCAGGATCCTGCCCTCTTTGCTCTGTGACATGATGCTGTCTGTGTATGGCCTGTACCCAGTGCCATGTCGTGCTGCTATCTCCTGTTGCCCCTGCGTGGTCTCACTGTTGCCTCCATGTGTTGGTGTTGCCCTGCCCTGTCGCTGGCTGATGCATGGTGCTGTGTTTTCTCTGCAGGGAGTGACTCTCACGCTGTGGTCGACCTGTGGCCTGTCCCGGGGTGGGCTGTATGGAGAGTGGCAAGGAGTTATCTGCACAGGCGAGAACAGCTCGCGGGTCCAGGTTTGTGTTGCTGCTGGCTGAAGGGTGTCCCTGGGGTTCCAGGCACACAGTGCCTGCAAGTGGTTACATGTATGACCCCGGGCTCCCTGAGCTCCAGCAAGATAAAGAGCTCCATTCTATCTGGTGTCTGGAGCAGCCCATTGGTTAGTGTGGTGCTCTGTCAACCAGGGGATCAGCTCTGACTCCCGTCAGGGGGCAGAGTCCCAGCCTCAGGTAGTGAAGGGAGGGAGAGATGTTCCTCAATAGCACCCCTAGGGGTGAATGAAAGAGCAGTAGAGCCAAGTACCAAAGGGGATCCCATCCTAAGGGGGGTGCTGCAGCTGAGCTAGGGGAGAATGGAGTCCCCAGTGTGTCCTAATGGCTCCTGTGTGCTGGCCCTGCAGAAGTACCTTCAGCAGCTGTGGAACACCATCCTGTTCATCGCCCTGATCCTGTGCACGGGTGTGATTGTGCAGGCCCAGCGGCAGTCCCGGCAGGGCCAGCAAGACCAGGACACCGAGGTGGGCTCACTCCTCTGCTCCTCTCCTCTTCGCTCCCATTGGGGACGTGCAGCTGGGAACTGACTCTGTGCTCTGCCTTCCCAGCTGGACCTCAAGCAGCACATCCTGCGGAGGCTGTCGGCACTGAAGACCCGGCGCTACCACCCTGGCAAACACCCCTGGAGCCAGGCCCGTGACATTGATAGCTGTGCTGTCTGCTTGGACCAGTTCCACAAGAACCAGGTAGAGCCTGGCTGGGGTGAGACGTGCTGGGGTCTTGGGACCAGTGACTTGTGCACCAGCCTTGCCAGACTGCTGCTAGGGACAGACACAGGAGGTCTGCGAGAAGCCTGCTAGCCAGTGGCAGAAGCTGGGCTGAAAAGTCATAGGCCAGTTAAAGCTATCGCCCCTAACCCAGGGCAGAACCTGGGTATGGATTCTCCTCTGGGCACAAGAGTTCCTGGCTATGTTCAGCTCCATCCCAGTGCTCCCTGCCTAGAGCAATCCCCACCCTCTGCCCTCACCTAGCAGGCTGCCAGCAGCTCCGCTGTGCCTGCCCCTTTCAAATACTTGCATGGTGGTTAGATGTCTCCCCAGCTGGCCTATCAGTGCATTCCACTGCAGCAGGGAGGCAGATACTGGGCTATCTGGCTCGCTGCTCTGGCCTGACACATCTCCAAGGCAGAGTGCTAAGATGGCTGCTGTGATGCATGTATTTGTCCCGGACATTCATTGCTTCGCCTCCTGCCCACAGTGTTTGCGGGTGTTGCCGTGTTCACACGAGTTTCACCGGGATTGCGTGGATCCGTGGCTGCTCCTGCAACAGACCTGCCCTTTGTGCAAGCACAACATCCTGGGTGAGAGTGGAAGGTGGCATCAGAGGGTGGCCCCCTCTACAGCTGCCTGTGCTGGCCCTGAGGCTTCAGGCCTCTCACTGTGATGTGGGCAAAGCCCTGCAAGTTCCTGGGGGCGGCTGCTGGAGGGCAGTGACTGTTGGGCTTATCCCAGCACAGCACCGTCAGACTGGGGCTGACCTGGCTGTGGATTCCTTTGACCCTCCCCCCCCCCCCCCAGTGACATGCAGAAACGGGACAGACCCTGTAAATGAGCCTCATAGCTGGGATAACAGGCTGTCCACACATTGTGGCATAAATGTGAGGCCAGGTCTCCCAGCCACTGCCTCCCCAGGCCCCACCTTGGTGATCTCAGCATACTTGCAGTAGGGGGTCTGGGAGGTTTGGGGGCTGTGGGCTCTGGGAGAGGGGTGCGGTGTTGGGGGGGCGGAGGGACTCTGGGGAGGTGTGTTAAGTACACAATAACTGCATGCTTGGGTTTAGGATCCCGTGGCAGCTTCTTGCCCTGTTTTCCCTAGAGAGAGCTCACTGGCAGTGAAGGGGTTACTGACCCTCTTGATCTCCCTTCCAGGTAACTGCTGCGGTGAGAGCTAGCTGGCCTATGGACATACTGCGGGGATAGAGTCACCTGCACTCCAGGGGATGGGGGCACCAGGGAAGTGGCTCCATCAGCACAGCAGGTGGCTGAGCAGGGGGAAGCAGCAGCACTGTGCATGTGTCCCCAGGGCTGGGCAGACCCACAGCGCTGTATGCTCAGCTCAGCAGTTATCCCCAGGCAGCAGAGTGAGAACCTGAGCATTGCGGTGGAGAAAAGGTTCTACTCCCTTTAGAGTGCACTCAGACGGCCCTGTTTGGCAGGGGTAGAAGGCAGGGATGGATGTGGCCAAATTCTGACCTGTCTTAAATCCATGCAAGCCCCCCGAGATCAGGGAGGGCAGAACTTGGCCTCTGAGTATGTGTGTAGGGGGAGGGGGTGCATCTGGGCAGCTGATCTGTCAGTATTAGTGTAGCATCTTTGGAGGGGTGGGGGTTGTGGGGGGCAGAAGCTAAGGAGGCATCTGAGACCCCCTCAGGGGAATAAGGAGGGGATGCCAGACTTCTTAGGCAAAGTCTTAAAGGGTTAGTGGGGAAGCTCCAGCGACGATGGGAGAGGCTGGTCCATGTGGCTGGTGCGAGCACTTTGCTGTAAGTCGATTTCCCTGTGCTCCCTGGGGCAGGCTAGTTTTTCCCCGCCCAGTGCTCCTAAGGGACAATTACTCTCTCCTTTTATAAATCTCTATTTTCTATACTCCCATGACTGCTGCTAGGAGCCCCTGGGCTGGCTCAGCTCTCGGTTACTCCTTGGCTATCTCAGCAGGGTGGCTCGGGTGTAACCGAAGGCAGCGCTGAGCCCCTCTCATCCCTCACAGAGTGGTGGCCCACACCTGGAGCAGGGGAGGGGGCCTGGAAGCTGCGTTGATCTACCATCTTTCAACGTGCTTCCCTTCTCACTGGCCCTTGGCAGATCACCTTGCTGAAGGGCAGGGGCAGGAAGTGGGGAGGGTTTGAATGCTTGCTTTATTTATACTAACTTATTAGAGAGAATGGCATGAGGTAGCTGCGGGGCGGAACAATATCCGTGGCTGTGTTGCAGTGTCCAGGTCTTTGCTGGGAGCCCTGGCTGGGTCCCAGCCCCACTCAGCAGCCAGAGATTGCTGGATTTGATGCACTGTACATGTCTGTAAAGCCGCCTGCGCTATTAAAGCTAGAGCAAGGAGAAACCTGCACTGCTCTTGTTGCTGTTTCTTTTACAGAACAATCCAGCACTGATTCCCCCCCCTACTCCCTGCATGGGTTCAGTTTCCCTCTGCCTGGCTAGCAAGCCCCTTTCTCTCCTAGTCTCCAGCTGCCATTTAGAAAGGGTCCCTCCCAAAAGAACAGAAAAGTTGAAAGGGGTGTTTGCCATGGAAAAGAGCCTGGCTTGATTCTTGCTGTGAGTTCAAGGTGGTGACCTGGTTACTGCCTTGGCTGCAGGTTCAGGGTCCATAAAAATATCAGGCCATGATACATGCCAGACAGTAATCTTTGCTCACAGCGCAGGGATAGTGTGATCTCCAAGTTGGACACAGCAGTCCAGTAACTTGCCAGAGGGTGGATGTGGCCAAGCTGGTATCAGAGCTCAAGAGGCCCTGACTCCCAGTCCTATGCTTAGGCTGCTAGCCCATGCCTCTCTCCTAGAGCAAACCTTTGGGCACATAGCCAGCTCCCTTTGCCTTCCCCGGCTTCATCTGGATATGCAAATATACCTACCCAAGGGCCACACTGGTGAGGACTACAGGAACTGGCATGCAATGCAGCCTGGCTAGTCCGATGAAGGATCATGGATTTCAAGGCCAGAAGGACCATTATGATCATCTAGCCTGCCTTCTGCCTAGTATAGTACAGAGAATTCCACCAGAAGCCCACTGCATGCTGGACACTGTAGTTTCCACAGGTTGCATGCCATGACTCAAGCCTGGGAGTGTGGAATGTAGCGTAGAATGCAGTGGCATGGGCTTAGTCCTCTAGACTAGGCTAATGCACATCTGCTGAGCCTCACTTTGGTTCAGTTTTTAGGCATCTCTGCTGATGATGAATCTTATTGTGGGTTCCAATGACACTTAGTCTCCCTCAGTCCAGTAAACTGGTGCTATGGCATGAGATATGAAATGGGCACATGCCCCCTGCAGATGCACAGAGCTCTCCCTGCTGCTAATCTGTGCTGTTACCCAGATCGAGGAGGCATGTTGGTTGTGCTTTATTAAAAGCCCTCAGACAAATGGTATTGCCTAATGCGGGATAAAGGAGGGAGGAGAAATTGCACATGCAATTTCTTAAGAGGGTGTTGACCAACATAAAATAGGTGGTGGGAAGCCTCACGAATTGTAATAAAGTAATTGTCAGAGGCTCTTTAAGGAGTGGCTAAGCTTAAATGTAAAATACTAGTTTACTAACAGCTCTGTCCTCTCTCTGGAAACCAAGTCCTTTCCCTGTAGGGGCAAGGACGGTCTGATCTAAGCTAGTCTTTCATCTCTAACTTCTCAGAGCCTAACTTGGTAACAGACCCATTGAAAATGAATAGAACAGTGGATGCTTTTATATAGCAGTCACTCAATACAGTCCTTCCTGTTCTCCCCACCCCTTTTCTCGCAGTCATTTGCCAACTGCAATCTTACTGGTTAAAAGTCTTAACTCTTGAATCTTTTATTGCAACTCAACTCTCTGCTCTGTTTCCTCCTGCCCTTGCAGCACAATGTGCTGTCAAAACCCAACCAGGATGGGGCAGGGGTGTGCAGCGAGCACTGGATGTTAAACCACAGGAGGGGGGTATGATCCAGGCTGTGATGGAGCTCTTGATTCCTAGCCCCCCTAAGGGGCTCCTATGTGGGAACAGAGTGATCTCTCCTGCTGGAAGGTGGGAAAGCACACAGCCTTTTATATGGGTTCTGTCTTCATGAGATCCTCTGGATCCCTGAGAAGATCCCTCAGTCCTTTCGTCCTTCCCACCTCCTCCTGGACAGCCTCCCTCACAGCAGCCATCCTGCTGCTCCGGGAGGTCCGGCTGGTTCTCCTTGTGGAGCTGCCAATGATTCTTCCGCCACCAGAGGAGATGCTGTTTGCAAGGCGGGACGTCATAGAATATCAGAGTTGGAAGAGACTCAGGTGGTCATCTAGTCCAACCTCCTGCTCAAAGCAGGACCAATCCCCAACTAAATCATCCCAGCCAGGGCTTTGTCAAGCCGGGCCTTAAAAACCTGTAAGGAAGGAGATTCCACCACCTCCCTAGGTAACCCATTCCAGTGCTTCACCACCCGCCTAGTGAAATAGTGTTTCCTAATATCCAACCTAGACCTCCCCCACTGCAACTTGAGACCATTGTTCCTTGTTCTGTCTTCTGGTACCACTGAGAACAGTCTAGGTCCATCCTCTTTGGAACTCCCTTTCAGGCAGTTGAAAGCAGCTATCAACTCCCCCCTCATTCTTCTCTTCTGCAGGCTAAACAATCCCAGTTCCCTCAGCCTCTCCTCATAAGTCACGTGTTCCAGCCCCCTAATCATTTTTGTTGCCCTCTGCTGGACTCTTTCCAATTTTTCCACATCCTTCTTGTAGCGGGGCTACAAAGTACTCCAGATAAGGCCTCACCAATGTCGAATAGAGGGGAATGATCACATCCCTCGATCTGCTGGCAATGCCCCTACTTATACAGCCCAAAATGCTGTTAGCCTTCTTGGCAACAAGGGCACGCTGGTCAACTCATATCCAGCTTCTCGTCCACTGTAACCCGTAGGTCCTTTTCTGCAGAACTGCTGCCTAGCCATTAGGTCCCTAGTCTGTATCAGTGCATGGGATTCTTCCATCCTAAGTGCAGGACTCTGCACTTGTCCTTGTTGAACCTCATCAGATTTCTTTTGGCCCATTCCTCTAATTTGTCTAGGTCCCTCTGTATCCTATCTACAACTCCTCCCAGTTTAGTGTCATCTGCAAACTTGCGTCCCCCACAAGCTGACCTACCTGACTCCAGCAGGTGGCCCATCTCAGTTAGGAAGCAGTGAGTGGCAGAGAAGCCCTGGGCTCCCACGTGGCACAGCCCTTTTGCAGCTCTTTCACTGTCACAGACAGCAGCCCTGCACTCGGAGGGAGCCTTGGGGATGAACAGTAAACAGCTTTATTTGTGTCCCTAGCTGAACACCTCCAGCAGGGGTTGCTCTCCTGGGGTTCTATTTCTGGTGGTTCTTGGGGCTGTGAGCTGAGCGGGCCTGGACTCTGGCTGCGCTGCCTTTCCCTTTCAGTCTGGCGTAAGTGTTGATGGCCGAGTTCTCGACTGGAAGGGAGACGCAGGACATTGCCTTCCACGTGGCCTCTGCGGAGGATGGCTTTAGATGGCTGCTTGGCGGTCTCTGGAGTGCTGTGCTCTGGCTGCTGGCTTGGCCACTCGCAAGCCGATGGGGCACTGTGCTGCTTGGAGGTCTGTGTGCGAGGGAAGGGTTGCTGTAGGAGAAGCAGGACAAGGCATTAGAGATGCAGCCCCTGAGGCAGAGAAAGTCACATAAGAACGGCCCTACTGGGTCAGACCAAAGGTCCATCTAGCCCAGGATCCTGTCTTCCGACAGTGGCCAGTGCCAGGTGCCCCAGAGGGAATGAACAGAACAGGTAATCATCAAGTGATCCATCTAGGGTGACCAGATCACCCAAGTCAAATA